CCCTTCTTGTTTGCAGTGGTGATGGACAAGTTGACAGAAGAGGTGAGGCATGAGTCTCTGATATTTGCAGATGGTATTTTGATTGGTACTGAGAGTAGGGAGCAGCTGAAGAGGTGGAGGTATGCACTGAAGAGAAGACGAATGAAGGCCAGTAGCAGTAAGAGAGAATACACGTGAGCCAATGAGAGGGAGACGGGTGGAAAGGTGAACATGCAGGGAGATCTTGTGTTTGAGCTTAAATGTGTAGGTCAACCATTCAAAACAACAGATGAAGGTGAAGAAGAGAGTGCAGGCAGGCAGGGTGGGGATGAGTGTCAAGCGTGAAAGAATTTAATATACCATCAACCTGGCAGCTAAATATGGCATATTTACATAATGAGGTGCTCATGTAGATTAATATGCATTGTCCTTTTTAAATAAAAGTAAATGGTAGTGAGACATGCTGTGATGTGTGGTTTGGAGATGATGGCGCTGACAGAATGACAGGAAGCAGAGCTGAACATGCAGTAATGAAGAGGGTAGATTTCAGTGTGAGTAACCAGAATGGACGGAAGTATACAGCGGGATGCAAACGTTTGGGCAGCTTTGTTCATAGTCATTATTTTCCTGGATAAATCGGTGTTACAATAAAAAAATGTCAGTTAAATATATCATATAGGAGACACACACAGTGATGTTTGAAAAGTGAAATGAAGTTTATTGGATTTACAGAAAGTGTCATTTTTGTTCTTTAGCTCACTTTATGCCTTTATGTTTTATAGTGAAAGCACAAAGATTTTTAAATGAGTCATACTTCGGATATTCGAGCGTTATTACAGTCATTGTAATCATACACGTTTACCACTTTTAAAAAATAGTCTAACGTCTCCTCAGACGTCTCATCGACTTTTAAAGTGTTTGCGGTGAGTGAGAGAGTGAGAGAGGCGGTGGAGCGACGCAGACGGAAACAGCCAGAACCGTCTGGGCGGAGAGAGAGGGAGGACTATATGCAGCGGCGGAAGGAGCGCAGCGTCACAGAGGTGAGTGCTGCGGAGCTGCCATCAGACAGGAGAGAAGCTCGTCACACACTCATCAACCAGCGGCTTGTTCTCAGGTAAGTAAAACACGTCAAAGCGCAGATTTGAGTCCGAGCTGAGCTTCGTTTACGGGGTTTGGAGGCGATGAGACGATGGAGGCAGAGCAGGTGCTTTAGTGAGGATGACGATGCTGAGGAGGAAGGATGGAGCAAACAGCAGCAGCTCTCAGCGCTTCAGATCTCTCTAAAGTGGCTCCGGTGGGCTTTAAGCAGCCTGCCGATGTTTTCATTGTGTCACAGGGGCGTTTTTCCCATCCCGGCCTTCACTGCGCACATCGCCACAAACGCGCACGGAGCCCGAATCCCAACATTTTCATCACTCAGCGTCAGAAACACGCTGCGTGGGGAGGAGACCGTGGGTTCGGGCGTGTTCTGACTCGGTTTGCAGCGATTTTGTCTTCATGTTTGGTTTGATGTAAAATGGAGGAGGAGGAGGATGCTGAAGCTGCCATGGCCTCCTTCCTCTCCCCTCCTCCTTTCCTTCCTCCCTTCCTCCGCCTCTCACATCACGTGGCGTCTAACAGCTTCTAACCACCACAAACCGACAGAAATATCGCGCAGCTGTCACGTTACAAGCGCTCAGGTCTGCGTGTCGGTCAATCTTTAAAACGAGCTCTTTGCTGGGTAGAGCGGAGCGTTCCCAGTATTCCCAGTAAGATCGATCCTTCTCCAGTCTGCGAACTGAGTGGGCCGATCTAAGAAAACACGGACATCTTTGAATATGCATGAGGAGATTTTCTGGGGGAAATATTCACAATATGTTGGAAAGTGTGGATATTTTAAATAGTGCGCAGTTTGTCATGTAATCTGTAAAAGGAGCTGTTTGTTGGTGGTAACAGAGGTTTCCCAGTATTCCCAGTAAGAGGTCGATGTTGCTCCAGTGTGTGAACTGAGCTGGTCGATTTTAGGAAATGAAAATATTTTTGTTCACGAGGAAAATTGGGGGGAAATGTTCGTTTTGGAAAGTGGGAGTATTCTTCGACATTGTGTTGTAGGAATATTGCAGGAAAAAGAGGAAAATTTGCTTCCACGAGAAGATATTAAAAAAAAAAAGTGAAAATACTTTCATGTTGTCAGATTCAAGGCTCACTGGAAGGTCTTAGGAATATTATGGAACATCTGGAGATTTTAGAAATTTACTGGAAAGTTTGAATTTTTACAAAGCAGGAATATTAGTTTGTTAGTTATTCCTTAAAATGAGCTTTTTTGGGGATATATAAAAAATTCCCTGGAGTATATTGATGATAAAATGATTATTGGGAAATGTTTTGCTACTTTGGAAAGCTGGGATGTTTTGGGCTTAAGGAAACTGCTGAATGTGTTTGTTTTGCTAACGAAGGAACATTTTGAACATCGTGGTTATCTTTAAAACGGGAACATGTTGGACATCGTGGAGATTTTGGGAAACACTGACTTTCTCCTGATGGTGCACATAGAAAAATCTAGACGAGCCTGTGACTGTGAACGTGTTTGTTCCTGTTTGAGAACATGGATGTAGCTCTGTGGCCTTAAAAAAGGTCAAAAGCGCCTCCTCAGAGGCGACGTGCTGCAGTTTGTACCTGTAGGGACAGAAACAGGCTTTTTGTTTCTCGTGTCTTTGTCAACAATAATCTGGAATATAATCCAAACTCATGTTTATCTAACACAGATGATCTCTGTTATCAGAATGCTGAGCTTGGCTGTAACTTCGGTGCTGCTCAGGCTTTCATCATCATCTCTCGTTTCTTTATTCTTGTTTCAGTAAATCTACATGAAGTTGTGTTTAACACATGTGCCGTAAACATGAAGAGAATAAATGTAACATGTATGTGCGTGTCGCCTTCACTGCTCCTAAATCAGTCCGGATCATTTGACCTGGAAGCGAGGCGTCTGACAACAGGAACCTCGTTAACACAACAGAGAGCAGCAGCTGAGCTTATTGTTAGGAGATTCATCGGGATGCTGATGCACCTGTGTGTGTGTGTGTGTGTGTGTGTGTGTGTGTGTGTGTGTCCACGCTGACTCATAGGGTCGTGTTGCGTAACCTCGATCGTGGCCTCAGCTGAGTCCTGCTGTCGTTGTGTCCCGCTGGGATCAGATTACATGAAGCACTGATAATGAGCTTAATCAGAGAAATCAAACCCACTAAATGGTGCACAGAGGGAAGTGTTTATCCCACTGATGCTGTGCAGGTCATTTCCACGTGTAAACAGCCCACAGTGACATGAGATCCATGGCATCCATAGACTGCACGGCTGCGTCACACAGACATTTGATAAATAACGTGAAGAAATAAAGAAAACGCTGCCTTCAGCGTCTGAAAGCAGCCTAAAGCAGCACACTGTGCATGATGCTGACTCAGTGATGGATGCAGTCGGATGGATTTCAGCATCGTGTCCATTTGCTAAAGTGGATTTAATCCAGTCAACAGCTAATGATGGGCAGGCAGGGTTAGCGTTAGCCCTCTAAGCCACTGTGCAGTGGGTCAATTAGCCTGCTTTCAGCTCTTTCCTCTCTCTCTCACACACTCTCACACACACACCCTCTCTCTGGAGTTATACTTAGCACTCGTGTTGTGATGCTGAATGGAAACAGAGACAACAAGACGCTGAAGGAAAACAAACCTCGGCCGGTCTCAGCTGCATCCCGGCCACGCCCTCGTGGCGGAGCCGTGCGGTGGTTCGGGCCAGGAGCGTCCGAGTCCAGCGCGACAAACCGCTGAAATGTTGTGTTACTGGCAACAAACTGCGTCACTGATTGAATCTGTTTATTTAAAGTCGTTCTGCAGCAGAAACCTAAAGTAAAGCTGTTTGAAGCGTCACAGCTCAGAAACATAATGTGGTGCTAGTGGAAGAATTATGTAATGTTACAATGTTACCATAAATATGAAACTGATGTCAGCAAGTTCAGTTTGGCTTCAAAAAATGTATCAAAATTCACCAATCTGCAAATCTGAAACTCATAAGAAAGAGAAATAAAAAAGAAAAAGGAATAATTATGTAATTACAAAATGTAATTATTGAGTAATAACCAAGTAATAACTAAGCTCGAGCCCAGTATTAGCAGGTTTATCTGAGTAATGTTAGTTTCATGTAACAGTACAGTAACAGAATTATAACCGTTTGGATTCAGGTGTGATATTAAGATGCAGACAGGTCGTTGTCTTTATGTGCTGCCAATAAAGCTTCATTTTGATTGTTGAATTTTGCAGTGAAACCTGGTGAACAGAGTGTTTGTGCACAGAACATTTGAAACAGTAACCTCACCGTAGATTCAATCAAACATCTGAAACATAAAGATTTTCTGTGTTTCTGGAGCAAAGAAAACGAGCTTTTATGTGACGCAGCAGCTGAATGTCGCGTTTTCAGGTTTTCTGTTTCATTAGTTTCTGGGTGAAGTTTAGATTTCCTGCTGTGATCTGTGTCCCGTGTTTTGTGGCTCTTGTTTCTCTGATGTCGTGCTTCTTATGATGAGGTCGGTTTTGTGATATCTTGTGTTCTGGTTTATATCATGCTTATTATCTGCAGCAGTCTCACCCGTGTCGCAGTTTTGGACTTGTGGTTGATTCTGTTTCACAAAATGCGAATATTAAACCAAACAAGAGGGGTAATCATTGCAGCTCGAAGTCTTTCAGGTCACACGAGACACTGTGACAGAAACAGAACCTCAGTTTGCAGGAAAGCAGAGGAAGCTGCTCCTTTTAAAGACTCGTGGCTCAGAATGAAGACTGTGTCAGTTACAAAGACGGGGTGAGGGCACAGCAGTCTGATGGAGTAAAACATCAGGAAACAAATGACTGAGCGAGGCTGTGAAACCTGGTTCTTCATGAAGGTCGGTCAGACTGATGGTGTCCTGACCGAGGACGTAAGGCTCCCTGAATCAGGGATGTCATTAGTTATTAGTATTTACTGCTCACTGACAGTTTGTGCTTCCTGTTTGAATCTCTGCTTGTGTTCTCATTAGTGTTTGAGGAGCACAAACGCTGAGAATTCCTGAATAAAATGTTGTTTAAAGGAGAAAATAATAGAAAATCTCATTAACATCTGTTGCTGCTCCTCTCTGACAGGCCCTGCTGCAGAAACACTCATCATGACAAAAGAGGAGAACCTGGAGGTGCAGGAGAAGGAGAGGCACGACCGGGAGGAGCAGGAGGAGGGGAGGGTCCAGCGAGAGGAGGAGGAGGCGCTGACTGAAGAAGAGGAAGAGGAGGAAGAAGAAGAGGAGGAGTATGAGCTAGAGGAAGAGAGGGAGCAGGAGGAGAGGACAGAAGTGGAGGAGGACGAGGAGGAAGAGCAGCAGGAGGAGGAGCGGGAGGAGAGAGAGGAGCGCGAGGAAGAGGAGGCGGCTCCGGCCGAACCGGAGCCAGAGCCCGTGTCTGTGTCCGAGTACCAGAGTCCGGTTCACGAGCCGCGGCGCCGAGCCATGGTGCACCCGTCCGCCCAGGCTCCGCTGCCCAAAGACTACGGTACGTCATACCGCCTTAAATTCAGACACCTTAAATGCTGCCAGTCACGCTGTTAAAGTGGAGACAGCTGGAGTCACAGTTCACTGTCAGCAGTCTGTGATCGACTGATCGGCCTGTTGTATTGACAGCCAATCACTGTTCAGTAAGCAAATCCCTGCAGTTCACAGAGCAGCACAGCAGAGGGCGCTCTCGAGCTGATGCTCAATGAAGAAGATTGAACAGATGTTTAAAATAATTTATTCAAACTAGATTCTAGACAAAAATATTATATTTATTAAAAAAACTTTATTGCTTTAGATTTTTGTACAGACGAGCTGACTTTGACTCTTTCAGCATTAACTCCTGCTCTCTACACTTCCTGCTCCCTAGGGGGCGCTCTGTGGAGCTGTAGAGCAAAAATATAAATGTGAGGTAAATGTTTGGCCCCGACAACAGCTTCACTTTAATTTTTAGATGTTTCTTACAGGTTTCTCTGAGTATTACTCATGTTACAGCACCACAAGCTGCTTAATGGCATCTGCCATTTTGATTTGGGGCGTGAAGCCAACAGCAGCAGAGACTGTGCAGCTGCATCACCTTCAACCACCACAACCAGCTGCTTCTTCTTCTTTAACTTCTAACGTCCGGGTATCTTTTGGGAATGGGCGCCATTGAGGGAGGACGTCCTTAAGTGACCGATCAGCAGAATGCATTTTATAGATAAAGTTAGACATTGGTGGTATTTTATTCCAGTCCCATTCATAAGACCAATCGAGTGACGCTACTGACCAGCCAATTGGTGGGATGAAGTCTGATGATGTCACATTTTAGTAGCAGGTACTAGGACCTAATGGAAAGCCCTGAAAACTGTAGCGAATCGTGCTGAGTCGATCGAGTAGGTACTAATGGAAAAGGGGCTTTTGAGGACAAGCTCGTGAGCGCCCCCTGCTGTGCCTCAAGATGAATATGCAGCTGATTTCCTTCATTGTTATTAGCAGGAAGTGGAATGGCTCTCCCGGAGCTGCTGACAGCGAGTCGCAGTGGGGCAGGTTGTCAGGCTGATGGCAGTGAAATAAAACCCTCCTCAGAGCTGCAGAGGCTGCAGGAAGGGAAACTGCAGCACTCGCAGGTTATTTCTGATTTGATGACGGGGACAGATTCTTCTTGGTGTCACCGTCTGGAACGATGTCCTGCCTGCTTTCCTCGCTCCTTTCCGTTTACCTTTCTTTGTCTCTTTAAGCTCATCTGTGATTTCTTCCTGTTCGTGTCCAGCGTTCACCTTCTTCGACCCGAATGACCCGGCCTGCTTGGAGATCCTCATGAATCCCCAAACCACGGTCCCTGAGCTGTTCGCCATCGTGCGACAGTGGGTTCCCCAGGTGCAGCACAAGATTGACATCATCGGCAATGAGGTGAGAACATAAAAGTAAAAACAAACACTAGAAAACCTGCAGTTCCTCTGACGTCCACTAGAGGCTCCAGCTGTGAGTCCGTCCCCACAGACTCCTCTGTTCAAACTTTACAGCAGAAATAAACACGTTTACAGTCTGATGCATAAAAACTTGCTGCTTTTTACACATAATTTCCTGATTCATAAATTCATAGTTAATTTTTAATAACTTCCATTAGGCTTCAACTTTGGAGCTCATGTCTCCGTGTTTGAAACCTCGGCAGTGCTGCAGCTTCTCTTTCAGTCTGTGCAGCCTGCTGCAGTCCTCTGTGTCACTGTTAAAGCCAACACTGATTCATTGTCACATTGACCCAGATTCAACCCTCTGGACACACACACACACACACACACACACACACACACACACAGCTCCTGTCAGGCCCTTAAAGCCTGAATGCTGAAAGCTTCTGTTCAAAGCACAAAT